ATGGGGTTCTCAGACGGATGTGCGTATGCGACGCCAGAAAGGCATTGCCCAGGAAAGTGAGAGTGAAGGACAAATGCTAGTTTCCCATAAGCTAAGTTTCAATGTCATGGATCGCCTTTTTCAAAGTCAAGGCCAGAAAGTATTGTCTTCAGACAGACAGCATCAGGGAATATCAAGCCTGCCATCGGTTTTTCGAACTTGTGAGGAGAGCTGCAATGGTATTCTGTTCTGAAAGGATGGACGCTTTTCCTCCTGGCCTGTGGCCTCTAACCCAGTCTATGACCTTGTGAATAGCATCGGTATCCAAGCCCAGCTCAAGCCAAGCCACCTCTCCCGCCAACACTTACCAAAGCCCTGCGCTGTGCGTCCGATACAGTCACCTCCGGCAAGCTCTTAACCCCATCCTGATCCTTGGCAGCGTTCGGAGGCGGAAGAAACCCGATCTGGACCAGATAGGCGAGATACAGACCGATCTCTCGCTTTGTAACACCACTTCCCGCACTAACGTCCTCTCGAGTCCACTTCTCATCTGCGTAAAGCGCTTTCTCTGCATTGCTGTCGTCTAGTTCTGGTGCCCGCGTATTAGAAGGGAGATCATTAGCGACAAACGTGAAGAGTGGCATGAGTGCAAAGTCGGCGTGTGTGCTCACGTAGTGCTCAAGCGAAGAAGCCCAAGGAACATAATCCGTTAGGTTCGCCGTATATCCGTAGGTCTGGAGTGCCGCAAGGTATTGATTGAATCGTAGTCTTGGGTGCCCCGTGATCTGTGCCACGCTGACTCCGTGGGAAGATGGGGGATGGAACGCACACGCCACAACTGTTCGAGCGACATGGTTCACTGGGACCATGTTCACTGTGTTGTTGATGTTGGGCCGGGTACCAAGCTGAATGCAGCCCTTCAGCATCCTAATCAAAAAATCGTCGGTATTCGTGACGCCAGTCTTAGAGGAGCCAAGCACATAACCGGGTCTGATAATGCAGCCGCGCAAACCTCGTCGCCCAGCCTCGCGACAGAGGTACTCTGCTACCCATTTGCTCTGACCGTAGCCCGTACCTAGCCCTTTGCGGCTACCCATCAAGTCGTCCTCTTCACTAATGCCTTCGCCTCCAGCAGCGATAATACGTTCCGATTCAAAGACAAAGTGTTCGTGATCGAGGACGCTAGTGGAGGATACAAAAGCAAAATACTTGGGTTTGCCCTGTGCACATATCTTCATCGTTTCAATAGTGCCGAGAACGTTGGCAGGCTTGAGCATTTCGTATGTATTGATCCAATGAACTTGGGCCCCATTGTGAATGACAACGTCAACCTCTTTAACAATTTCTTTCCATCGTGCATCGGAAAGGCCCAGTCGCGTCGGCCCTAGTTCACCCGTAATACAATGGACTCGAGACTGCCATGAATCATCCCAGACACCGTATGCCTCGCAGGTCGTTTTAATTCGGGATATTGCCGATGCGTCATCTTTGGCTCTGACCAGGACATAGATTTTCTTCACTTGAGGACTATTGCGGTCCAACAGGTCTTTCAAGATAAATGATCCCAAGAAGCCAGTCGCACCAGTAAGAAACACCACTGGCGCTGAAGGAATATCTGTAGATGCACAGGAGAACGAAGGAGGCAGCGTCTCGGCCATTTTTGGGGCATCATCGCCGTATTGGTCTTCAGCCATAGCACCGTTGGATTGACCACTGTCTGCAGCTCCATTTATCTCAACTGCTTCTCCACCTCCCAAAGAATCAGCAGCCCGTAAATGATCGATTACAGCAGCCATCTCCTTCAGCGTATGCCGATTGTATATCTTGCTGATCGCGAGATTCACTCCAAGCGTTCTTCTGACCTGGTATGCAAGCTGCTGCGCTTTCATGCTTTCACCGCCGATAGCGAAGAATGAGTCCGTTGGTCTAATGGTCCGCGGAATCAATCCTGGAACAAGCTTCGCCCAGATATGTGCAAGCGCACATTCCCCCTCTGTGAGCTGTTGTAGCATGGAAGACTTGCGCCGCGTTCGAGCCGAGAGTATTCCTGCGTCCGGAAATGGCAGTTTTGGCCTGTCGACTTTCCCATTTGGATTCAAGGGCATCGCTTTCATTGGCACTATGACAGAAGGAACCGCGTATGCAGGTAGCTTCGTCCGCAGGTACTCTTGCACCTCGGTCTGGAGCATTTGAAACCGTTCCACTCTCCCAATCAGAGTTCCGTCGTCCGGAATGTCCTGCTTGCCCTTTTCCGCAAGGAATTGTGACCATGCTTTCATTTGCGGCACAATGTAGCTGACAAGTGTCTGTTCCTCAAACTTATCTCTTCGGACAAGCGTGACATTTTCGCGCACAAGAGGATGCCGAGACAGATGCGTGTCGATTTCTCCTAGCTCGATCCGGAAGCCTCTAATCTTCACTTGATCATCGGCCCTGCCAGAGCATTCCACATCTCCTGTTGGTGTGTAGCGGCCGAGATCTCCACTTCGATACAGGCGATCTCGAGGCCCGAGGTAATACCGCGCCCAAGGTTCATTCTTGTATTTCTGCTCAAACCGGGCCTTATCTGATTGCAGACCTTTTTCATGATCTGGGAACCAGTTATCCACAAATTTCGTCGCTGTAAGCTCAGGAGTTCCCAGATATCCTTCTGCAAGTCCTCCTGCCCGAATATATATTTCTCCGATTTCGCCAACAGCACATAGCTTAGTGCGGTCGAAGCGGTTTATGACGAGCATCTGAACGTTATGCATTCCTCTGCCGACGGGGATGACGTCTTTCATTCCATCCAGGAAGCTATCATTTTCGTTCCAAGAGGGTATCTCATAGAAGCTCACCGCCCTGGAAGTTTCCGTCGTGCCCCACATGTTGACGATGCGCACGTTAGGTGCTAGATTCTGTAGGGATCTGCAGTCCCTCTTGATCAAGATATCGCCCACGAAGAAGGCGTGGTGAAGCTTCTCGAATTTTGCTGTTGCGCCTCCGACTAAAATTTGGCCCATGGCTGGTGTTAGATGTGTCACTGTCGCGCCATATTCTTTCATCCACTCGGCTAGGAGCTCATTCTGAATATCATTCTTTGATGGCACAAGAATCTGTGCACCCAAGAATAGAGGTGTGAATATGTCTCTTTGAATTGGATCGTGTGCGATGCCGCTGAGCATGCTGAATTTATCTTTCTCAGATAAATTGAATCTCTTCGCCATCCAGTCGTAGTAGAATGCCAATGAATAATGGCGGCCCCTGACGCCTTTCGGTTTGCCTTCAGAACCAGAGGTAAAAGACAGAGTGGGCACGGAATCGGGTCCAACCACAACACCGGGACCTTTGACTTTAAGACTCCGCGTAGATTCAAAAATGTCCTTTCCAGCAGCCTCACCGCCCTGGAGAAAGCCGTCATCGTGCAAACGCAAAGCCGGAACTTCTGTCTTGAGATCCAGGTTGTCATTTATGAAACCTCGCACCTTGTCCGACAGTTCGCCGGCATCTTGAGTGGCTTTATCTATGATGACAAGCGCCCTTGGTCTTGAGACGTCGAGGTAGATGTTTTGTCTATCAGGTGGATAGGCGGGATCCAATACTGAAAACGTGCCACCAGCTTTCAGGATACCCATAATGGCAACTACTAGGTCAACCCCTCGATATGAGTATATCATGACGACATCGCCCCTCTCCAGACCACATTGGACAAGATGATGCGCCAGAATATTGGAGGATTCGTGTATTTGTCGGTAAGTAAATTTCCTTTCTGGGCCATCCTCAGATTTTGTCTCTGTGACGCAAGTCCGGTCAGGATGAGCTTCAGCATTTGCAGCAAAGATATCATGGATAGCGCCACGGAAAGACGACCACTCCATATCACTGGTTGGGTTGGGGATAAGGGCTTGTTCCTGAGGGGTGGCGAACACGATCCCACCAACAGGAGCATTGACATCAACCGCGGCGTTTTCCAGCAGTCGTGTCATTTGGCCGAGAATACCGGCTACCCTTGCACTCGAGACAAGACGCTGGTTGTATCGCGCAACCAGTCGAAGGTCGCCTCCAGCCGAGCATGAATAAGTCAGCAAGAGGTCAGTCGTTTCAGCACCACCGGGTAGACCAGCACCATCGTCATTGCTATTGAAGGCAGCAAATCGAAACAAAACCGGCCTCTTTAGGCTTGTCTGGATGTCCGCAAGAGAGACGATCTTCTCCGCCGCCTGCGCAGCCAACTCTTGCACCGTTTTAAGCAGCTGTGAGAATGGCTCGGAGGCGGCAACAGCTGTTTTGAGGACGAACGGAGGACCGTTAGTTTTCACATTAGTGCCGATGCTGATATCCTCGTCGCCCGTTAGTCTGCTCACCAGAACAATGAGAGCCGTCTGAATGACAGCGGTGAATGAGGCGAGGCCGGACAGTGTCTTCAAGGCATGTCTGGTAGTTGCCGTCGCAGCAAGTGACTCGACTGCTTCGATGGGCCTTTTGGGGATATTCTCCGCGGTAGCCTCAGGGTAGTCTCGAGTCAGCGGTGATATTGTTTGATCTTGCAAGTGTTGAGTCCACCAAGCTAGGCGCTCGTCTTGAGCAGTTCCCGTAGCCATTGCTGACAACAGGTGAGGAAAAGAACTGAGCCCCAAGTGAGTCAACGAAACTAGACAGACTTGAAAAGAAAACGGAAAAATTATCTTTTGCGGTAACTGCGCTAATGATCGACCGGAGAAGCGGCCGTCCGCCGATGCACGAGGAGCGGTGGACCCTGCCAAAAAGCCTGACATCGGGCTTGGCAACCACATGCTCTCCGATTGGCCAGCTTCCCGGCAGCCTTGTGTTCCCCAGACTTTAGGAGCTGTCACAATTTCCAATGGCGCAATCATTGACGATACAATCAACGTTGTTGACCGGATTCATCCTGCAACATCTACATCCTCGCAAAATGTTTCTGTTCTTGCAATAGATTTCCCTTGCCGCGTTCAAGCATTCAGCTCTTGTTTTCTACTTCTTTTCAACTTCCAGCCTGTCGCTCGCTTCCCCCCCCAGGCGCAATGCCTCCGCGGCATTTCACTAGGTATATTGTCATTGCGGCAGTCTTCATTAGCGGCCTCATAATATTTTCTTCGACGTCGAGCTCGTCCACCGCTGCCGTGATCGATGCGATTTCATACCCAGAAGCTCTCCGAGACGTGATACCCAAACTCACTGTTCCCAACCTCCGCTGGTCTTTCCAGAGCTCCGCGCACAAGCCTCCCGAACAGAAGAATAGTACACATGGAGACAGCTCATGGTATAGCGATTGGAAATGGCTCAACCCCTTCTCCTCCTCTGTGACACTCGACGAGGATCGCGTCGTCTTGCCTCCTCTGGCGGAACGGCCACCGGTCTACACATTCTATGATACTTCAATCGAAAGAGACGACAAGACAAAGAGCATCGACAAGGAGTTTCTATTGACATGGAGGCGAGCTTGGTGGGCTCATGGCTTTCGACCAGTGGTTCTGACGGACGCAGAGGCTATGAGCCATCCACTCTATCAGACCTTACACGCGAAAGGCATGCCGGCGGTCCTTGAGCAAGAGTTCCGGCAATGGTTAGCTTGGGCTCATATGGGTACCGGTTTGCTTACAAGCTGGTACTGCTTACCCATGGGCCCTGTTGATGACGCCCTTTTATCTCATCTGCGTCGAGGGCAATATCCCCAGCTTACCAAGTTCAAGGGCTTGGGATCTGGTTTGTTTGCCGGAGAAAAGACCCAAATAGAAGATGCCATCAAGTCCGCACTCGATAATGTAAAATTGAGCTCCTTCAAAACCATCACGGATGCCATCGACTCAGAGCGTTTTGAAGTGGAACAGCCAACATCCATCGCTTATTATGATTCCAAAACGATAGCCTCCAAATACCCTGTTCTGGCAGAAATAATGGCCAAAGATGAGAAGAAAGGTCGACGCTCACTCAACCAACTCATGATGGCACATCTTCACGTCATGTGGCAAAATACTTTCAGCGCTGGTATTGCGGTCTTGCAGCCTCTTGCAGCTCACACCTTCACGCTTGTACAGCCATCCAAGGACCTAGCCCGCCTTCTTGCAGAATGTCCCAGTTCTATCTTGCAATCGTCTTGTCCGCCAAATCGACCGAAATGCACACCGTGTACGGGTTCGAAGTTGAGAATCACCACCGCTCCTTCTTTCCGGAATACGTCTTCCTTGTTTACAATTGCCGTTGTGCCTCACCCTTATACGATGATTACACTGACAAATCAATCCGATGCCGTATCTGTCGCTCATATAAGACGGCATACTGAACGAGATCCTTGGATAACTGCAGTCACGCGGGATCTGCTGGGAGACGGTCGTGGTGGTCCAAGCCGCGTAGTGGCCCTAAAGGACGCGGTGGCATCAGAATATGGCAGCAGTCGTTCCTTATGGTTTACAACCGAGCATTTCCCTGCGTCTTTCAATCCACCGCCCCCTCCACCAAAGTCGCCCACTAATGAGGCTCGGCCGGCAAGAGAGGAAGTTTCTCCATTCCCGGAAGACTGGCTCACGCATCTCGACTGGCACTTTGGCTTTCCCGTTCCAAGGATGACAGTGTCTCATGGAGAGTCTTTGCCTCCAGTTCCTGGACCTGAGCGTTGGGCCAAACTTCCTGCCGGCGTTCCTGCCGACCGTAAGAAGGCTTCTGATCCTGATCCGCCTACAGAAGAGCAGGCTGTAATTGAGGCCGACCTCTTACGGAAAGCAAGAAGCACTATTAACAGTAAAGACGCCGCTGTGCTCAAGATCCGTAATGTGGCAGAGGCATGGAACCTGGCCGACACGGAGGCTTGGAAGTTCGTGAAGGGTTTCCGAGCCCGTCAGGTCGTTGAGAGATTGAAATTTGAGGACGAAGAGTCTGCGTATGAAACCGAGGGTGTGAAAGGCAAGAGTCGATGGTGGGGTTCATGATCGAAAATGAGCTCCGCGTAATCGATGCCAGTATTCTATGCCATGAGGAACCGCGGTCGTTGACGGACCTCAAGGCCGTGGTCAAAAGACTTGCTGTGTTTTTGGCGCACATTTGGGCCACACGAAGACCACTATCTGGCAAGCGATGCACAGATACAGGAGATACACTGTTTCCGACATATTTGGTGCATGTGGCGGACTGAGCTCAATCATCCACCGATGCCGCAGAACCCGGCGCAAATATTCGAAGGTATACTCCACGACGACTTTGGTGACAAATATGGCGAGAAGAAACTGTACAAAGTGCCATCCGCTAAGCGCGACAAGATGTCTTGACAAGTTCTCCGTGTTCTTTGCAAGAATTTCAAAGGGGTCGAGGACAATACACCAGTATGGGGCCTTAAATGCTTGCTTGAGGACGAACGAACACACTTCCGATACATCAATCGACATCGGCATTCCCACCACCAGGTTTATCTGCGTGACGATCGGCTCAGTCCTGGTCGTTTCTACGTTAGCTGCCCCGTCAAGAGTCACCTGGGACCCAGAATCAGTTGTCGTCAATCTTGCCGAGTTTTGCGAACTTGTGAGGACAAATTTGGAATGGGTGTTGGATGAACGTGACATTGTAGAGCCCGCCGACTCTGTTGGAGCTAAGTTTGGATCGTCTGAGAACGTTTGCATTTCTCCTTGAAAATCAGACATCGGTGCTCGATTTAGTCGGTGGCTTCTCAACGAGCGGTTGTTTAGCCAGCATGATAAAGACGGCATTTTGGTCGAATGGTCTCGAGGCTGTGGAGCCGGATGCAACTTCCTTAGTGACGAGTGCGTCTTCGCCGCAGCGCAGGACAATGTAGAGGGATGAATAGGAGCGAAAGTCCCCGGATTGCCCGGCATCTCGATCTCTTCTGTCGAAGACAGGTCCAAATCGATATGTTCCTCAAAGATCGGTATTAGCGATACCCGATTTAGCTGTTTCGAGGGTGCTTCCCAGGCTGACGACTTTACACTGCGCCGCAACGAGGAAATGCCCAATGGAAGGGACTTTTTGCTCGAATTTGGCAAGGACGCGGCATTGCTGTGCTGCTGGACCACTGTAGCACCAGCAGAAATGGGGTCCTTATGCTTCCTAGGACACTGGAGGATCTCCTCCCAGTCACCGTCCCAAAGGCCCATCGCCATGTCCGCCAATTTCCGTGCCATTCTCGTCTTCAAGTCAACGCTCCTCATAACTGAAGCCATCCTGCCATTTCCAGCCATTTCCGCGAGTGTCGCACAGCACATACCGTGATCACATGGTGCCCAACCCTGCTCAGTCGGTCGAGGCCACTGACCTCTCGCAGCCAACTCGTCCTTGATCAATATGTACCTCAGATTTACCAACTCGACAATCTTTTCTGCGTTCCTTGCTTCCATTCGTCCGGCCTCGTCGTCTCCAGCAAAAGTCACATTGAATGCGACTGCGATGCTTTCGTACGGTAGACTTGTGGTTAGGTAATACCACATCACGAAACGCACGTGGTGTGGCGGCCAGATGTGTCGGATGGACATGTTGTTGAAGTCATTGACGAGGTCTTCCACAAGGACATGTTTGCTGAGTTTGTCCGCGGAAAGGGAGGGTTTGGAGGATCTGGCCTTGTGTTTCACGCGACTGCCGCGCCCATTCGTGGCGACCGAAGCCGAGATCATTGTTGACAAAGCTCAAAGTCTGCTTCGTGGTAATGGGACGAGGAAGGGGCGTTTGATGCAAATCGTCATGGCTTGTGGCTGAAATGTGGGAGTCTGGATGTTTTGGTTTCCGACGAGGAATGTGGTGCTTGAAGGACTTCCATATTGATCACTTCTATGCTATCCTCCTGTCGTCTAGGGCTGTGGCATTCCAAACAGACGAGAGAGGGCTAATTCGCCAGAAGAGGTAGTGGGGTGCATACATGTTTCTAGCTATGTAGCCACTTTGACCTCTCAAAACCACCATTATTTGTCTGGTATTGGGGTTCTCTTTCGCTGGCAGTCGGATACGTGCTCCTGTAGAGAAGGTTCCAGCAGCCCGGTTATGCATAGTTTCTCGTGAGGAATATCAACGAATCCAGCGCCGAACAAGCGCTTTGAGTTCGCGTACATATAGATAGGCGCGTCATATTCAAGATGTGCGGAGGGGACCTGTCCGGATTCAAGGCCGGGATATATTGGTTGTCCTGGTGGCGTCCACTAACTCTACGAACACTGAGAGCTTCAGGGCAGACGGGTGTGTTTGGCTTTGGATTTATGATGCCCGTGGGATATAGTACATAGCTTCGTTGCGCTGACAGTTTGTCAGGTGTTTATTTCGCCCATAGGGGGTTCAGAGACACGAGACTCACATTATAGCCGTCTCGGCGGAGCCGCCTCAGACCTCACTTGTCATCTTTCACGCGGCAGACAAGCTCGCCAGCATTCTCGTTGCCTTCGTCAGCGGCGCGTTCTTGGTAGACCCCAAATGTGCGAACTGGCCCAAACATGTCAGCAACCAGGCGTTCCAGATAATCTCCGTCGTGCTCTGGGTTCTTTTCTTTGCCTTCACTGTGACGGCAACGAGCGGAGCTACAAACCAGGAGCTGCTCGGTGCCGCGGCTGCGTAATGCTGCAGTGCTAGTGTAATGGGAGAAGTTTGAAGTGGTGGATAGCGTTATGATTGGCTAGGGCGCCGACCCTAGACTATGGTTCTTCTTATATAGTCCTGGGGGACTATCTTTCATAGAAGGGACAATCAACCAAGTTACCAACAGAGAGGACTTCCCCTAGTTGAGTGTGCGCGTTGGGAAGAGGCTATACCCACCGCCGTACGAGTTGATGCCCATGGCTAGTAGCCTCGCCCCAGTTCACTAGTCGTCTTCGTAGGTCAGACTCAGCCATGAACCTATCAGAGATAGTGCTAATTTTTGCGAGTAGGGAAAGAGAGAGAGAGAAAGCCAATATCCTGGCACTAATGGGGCTGTTTCGGGTATATGTTTCGGGCTCCTTTTTCATTTGTTGACCTATAGTCACGTACTAAGACTACTTGACGTTCCCGACGACAAAGCCTATTCCGCCCATCCACTCAGTTCGAAATCATGTGGAGGCCAGCAGCAATGGAACAACCTACCTAGCTGGGGAGCGTTTCTCACTCTATGAGGATAGGAGAGAATAGGCATGGAGAAATTAGAATGAGCGTGCAGTGAGTGAGGTGAGTGAGTGAGTCGCGCACCCAGGATTCAGGAGTCAGAGTCAGCAGGAGGGATCCTGACCGTGCGGTTGGGTTCAAAATTGGAAGGAGACTCTTGGGGGCAAGGTGGTTCAATATATATGGTTTATTATTATACGGAGTAATAGGATTCTCTTCCGTTACTCCCTTGACAGATGCGGATCCTTTCATGAGTATGGGCCATGAAGGGGACGTGACGGGAGGAACTAGAGAATCGAAAATGATCGGCAAAATTCTGCATCCTCCCCAAATCCTCCAGAGCCTAAGTAAGTAGTAACGGCGGGGAGGCCGGAGGTCAGGAATCTGGTTTGTGGATGCATCTTGAGATCTATTGATCTGTCTGTGTCTACGTCTGTGGTGGATGACGTCCAAGGACGTCCCAAGTGGAGAAACCCCAGTAGCATCGTCGCCACGGAGCAAGTATATGCAAGTAAGCTCAAAAAGGGACAACGATAAGGGTATCGCGGTGCAGAATATCATACTCCTCAAGGCAGAAGAATGAGGAAAAGCGAGCAAGCTGGCGGCGAGGGTTACGAGAACTCAGCTGCAGGTATTATTGAAGTTGCTTAGACCATCTACCGAACTACCATGACAGTGATGGGGTATATGTCTGGTGCCTGTAAGCCTAGGCTGGATGGAGTCTTCGACTTCAACACGGCTGCGACAGCGTTTTGCAGGGTTTAGCGACTGGTGGGACTTCATTAGATAACCATGCTCTCTACTCATGCTCGTTAAAGCTCGTTCAGAGCGTCCACCATCCTCCTTTATGTCAATCTGATATCGAGCCGTCGGAGCTCAAACATCGGCCGACTTCTCCGTGATCTCTTCGCGATCAGAGGCAACGTAATCGTCTGAATCGAACTTGTAAAGCTGGGGAGGAGTAAGGCCCTTGCGCCGCAGAATTTGGGTCTTGAACCAGTACGGCATGACCTGGTTGAGTTGATAATGCATATGTGTGCGAGTGGGCACGGCGAAGACGTAATCCAATTCTTCGAGGGTTCGTTGCTTGGTCTCTGGAAGCCACAGGAAGATCATGATGAACGCGATAATGTTAAGTCCGGCGTAGAACCCAAATGCGCCCTGTGGTTTCATGGCTTGGAGCATACGCGGGAATGTAAGAGACAAGACTGACGCCCAGAAGTTGTTGGTGGCCACGGCCCAGGACATGCCGACTTCACGATGCGACAGTGGGAACACTTCGGCCGAGTAGGTGAATGGAACAGGCCCTTCTCCTGGCGAGTAGAAAGCATCGAACAGGAAAATGAACAACGCAATCAGGCCGAGGTGGGCGTCGCTGCTTTCGGGAATCCAGAAACAGAAGCCAGCCGCCAGCAAGGTCCAGCACATGTTGGGGAATGTAAAGAGCAACAGAGCTCGTCGGCCGAAGGTATCGATCGTCCAAACGGCAGGCCAGGCGAAAAGGAAATTGACCAGGCCAAAGCCCCAGGACGCAAGTAAAGAGCCGGTAACGCTGGCTCCGGCATTTGAGAAGACAGTGGATGAGTAGAAGGCGATAATGTTGATGCCACACATTTGTTGGGCAATCATGACGATACCCGAAGCTTGGGTTGCACGTCGAATACGTGGAATGGTGAAAAGTTCAATGAATCGAGTGATAATGTTGCCGTGAGTGGCGACGGCAGACTCCTCAACAAGGATGTCTTCCTGGACAAGTTGGGCATGAATGTAGTAGAGATCCCGAGCCGCTTGCAGAGGGCTGTTCCGGAGTCGCAGCAGAGCTTTATAGGCTTTGGCGTGACGACCTTTCTTCATCAACCAACGAGGAGACTTTTTGACGGGTTAGTTGAGAGCCTCCAGGAGCTATTCTTTCCGACTTACCTCTGGGCAGAAGAAGATACCAAGCACCAAGGGCACCGCTGGAATGAAAGCGGACCCCAATTGCAGGCGCCACGCTATGTCGCCAGTGTCTTTGACCGCCAGGTTCGCGCAGGTACCGAGAAAAATGCCAAAGGCCGTCCAGACTTGCCAACTCATGACGAGACCACCGCGGATGTTTGTCGGGGACTGTCTTGGTATTAGCGCTCCAAACCTGTATCGGCGGGGGAAGAAGCTTGGGGCTTCTCTGATCCTGAGTCTAGCGAGACTTACGTTTTCAGCCGAGAAGACGGGGACCGTGACTTCTTTGAGACCCATGCCAATACCTAACAGAATACGAGTTGCGACCAATTGACCCCAGTGTTGAGTACAGGCCGAACCAATCGGGGCGAGTAGGGAGAAGACGGCACCGACGAAGATAGTTCCGCGACGGCCAAGGAAGTCATTCAAGGGATCCGATATCCATCCGGCACTGCAAAGGTCAGCATGTATCCAGGCCCATCAGCAGGTCCAGACATACAAGAAAGCAATGGCGATGTAAGGGCAAGAGTTGATGAAGCCAATGAGCCATGAGTTGTCTTCGCAGTTGCCCGCGGCTTCACAGACAGGACCGGAATCCGGGATCCCAAAGGCGACAGGGAAGGTCAAGTTGGCACCATTGGAACCTGTCTGATCCCAGCCCTGAATGGCGGCGGCGATCGAGTTGAGGACGATGGTGAAATAGAGGGTCTTGGGGTGTCTCCAGCGGTGGGTGACTTCCTCACGGAGGAGTTGACGATCGGACTCGTCGAGTTCGGGAATATGCTCGATGGCATGGGGGCTCTGTGCAACCAAGGCGCCCTTTTTCAAGAGCGGCAGAATATCAGTCAGAGCATTCTCGTTGGCGTAGTTTTCGACATCCTGGAGCATCTGCTCGCGCGGAATCCCGACCAGAGGATTGCGGACTCTGCACCAACCAAGGTCAGCGAGGGGCAACAGGGCACGACCCCTTGAAGCTTGACTCACTCTCCAGTGGTGTTGGACGTCAGTTGAGCAACACTGGCCTTGCGCTTGGACTCATCGGCGAAGAGCACGCTAGGTCTCCGGTGCTCTGAGGCAATAGCATCCTTGTGGTCAGCCATGGTCGGCAGTCAGGATGTCTGGGTGTTGGTGAGTATCCAAAGCACAAAGCAGGAGGACACGAAAGGGGGGGAGGAAGGACCAGCTGAGCAGGAGGGGGAGGGACGACGCGCTCTTTATGAGTCTGTGTGCAGGGTGAAGACAACTTCAGTGCCCCAATGGTAAAGAAGAGCGACGATCAGCTCCAGGTACGGTTGGCCTCGCACAAACTGGACATGGCGTGCTCCTCCCTCATCTCAACCCCCCTGGTCACTCGGCTCGCCATCCATGGACCATGGTACCCTGTGCAGCTTGTGGCACTTGCGTCTCAGCAGCATCAGCGTGTCGAGGAACTGGGGAGGCCGCCAGAGCCAAGGTCTGGAGTGACGCTGATCGCTGGTCGAGTGGCGGTTCGGGAATAGGAACATTGTTGGGCCGAGAGAAGAGAGAAGAGAGCTAGAGAGCTAAGGAGCTGGAGAGCTGGGGAGCGGATGGGCCATCACACGACTCGACAGGGGTGAGGGGGGGAGGGGAATGGTACGAGGTATCCTGTACTGGGTACTCGGTATTGTGCAACATCAATGGCAAGGCTTGAGCCAACGAGGACATGGTTTTAGGATTCAAGGAAACTTGGAATGCAGTGACGAGCAGTAGTTTGACGTGAGAGAAGCCAATGGGACCTGTCGAGCTGTGGACTAAGATGGAGCCACCAGGGCTTAGAGAGGCCGCACCAGCCTGCGCGCTGTGACCGCAGTCACCACAGTCACCCTCTCACCTCGCCCTCACTTCGCCCTCATACTCGCCCACAAACTCCTCCTCTCCACCTCGACTAACTTAGCAACTCGCCCTCCAACGCCTTTGGCCTCGCCCCCTCGTCGCGCCGAGATGCCTTTGCTGTCGTTGCAGTCCTTGCGCATTTTATCCATCGCCTGTTAGGGGACCCTGTACTTGGCCACTACTACCTAGCATTACCTAGGTACATAATATTTTGAGTTTTTGCAACTGTCGAGACGGCTGGATGAGGACTGACTGGACTTGACAGAGATCCACCTCTGCAACGCTCCCCAACGCCTTGTTGACCTGACAGACTGCCCTCCCTTACCTCTCCTCCACCTGGCCGTCGTCCTTCAGGAGACTTCACAAGCCGATCAATCCTTGGCTTCTCAAAAGCTTCAGAATGCTTGGGTGACAATAAGAAGCAACAAGAAAACGCCTTGGGCAAGAGCTGGGGAAGACTTGGGGCGCCGGGCTGGGATTCCGCCTTGTGATCGACCAGCCAACACTCCAATCTGGGGCATCCGTCTTCTGGGCTGACGGCTCAAACACCGCGGCCAAGTTTAGCGGCGTCGTTAGCCCTGGATGTCCAATCCGCCCAGCCAGCGATCGGCAGATGACATGCTATTTCCAAACTCAAACTCATCATCCCTTGCTGCTAGCCAAATAGCAATCAGAATCCACGACAGATCACAGGCCAGACGTGTTTAACTTCCACACCCGCTTCCATGACATAGGCCAAGCCGTTGGAATAAATGGCGTCCTGGCGAGCTGGACACCACGACTGCTTGGTCCCAAAAGATCCTTCCGTCGAGTTCTAGAACAAGTGAAGGAAAAGGGGAAAAAAAAATTGACAAAAGGCCCTCATTCAACAAAACATGTCCGACTTTGTGGACCAAGGTGGTACTGGGGCACCCGACCTCCGATGACCGGTCAGACAGGGCGGAGACTGTGTGTACCTTGTGCCTGTACGTACTCGGGTAGTAAGAAAGGGATAACTCGCACCGAGCCACACGGAAAAAAGGACCCATCAGAGTTTGCCACAAGCCCTCGGACTTCCTACGGTTGAGCCATACAACCCAGGTCGTTGCTCTGTTTGTAGGCGAAAACGCCTCCGGAACGAGCAGCGGCGGGGATCGCATCGACTTCAAACGTAGGGTGGCTTGGGGCTGGGTGCCTTATCTTCCCCTTCCAACCCTATAGCCTACGCTAATCCTAACAGCGTAGCTGGGTAGACTTTTCTCGAACATCTCCTTCTACGGACAGGCCATCTGATCGCGCTCAAGCCCTCGTTTCCGTCTTGGCCAACGCCACAGTGTGGGATCGTGGAGATGTGGGCGCACCAGGCGCACCTTACTTCCCCTCTTTAACAAGTACAACGATGGGGTGTGTCAGCATTGGAGTCTGTTTTCAGCACAACCCACCACGTATTGCAGCCTGTCGCGGTTCCATACCAGGTCCAGCAAAGTGGTCAACTCTACCTTTCACTAGCATCGTCGCTTGGAGTGGCTCAAATCGCTGGACCAGGAAAATGCCGCAAAATGTGGCCACATTCATCAACACAAACCCCCTTGGTCCACCTTCTTTTGTATTGACCCTCGTTGGGCTAGGGAACTTTTGCCGACGATGAACAGGACAAGGAGTTCCCCAGTGGAACCGTAACTGATGTCTGAGAAGAAAGCCGTCGACTTATCACGAATGTAAGGTGTTGAGGACGCTCAACGTATCCCGCATCTCTTTAGTTTCCCAGCCTCGCCTCGCGCCTTGTCCCGACCTTTCCCTCAAACAGCGCATTCCAGCCGAACCCGTTCTATTACCTCCATGCGAAATGTGACCCCGGCATGTAGAGGCAGATGATGTGGCCTCTAAACACGGCACAAGATGATGGAATCCCTGCACTTTACGGGGTATTCGGACTGACCGAACCAATGAGCACCCATACTTCGTAAAGAAGTATGGGTGAAGATACCCAAGCTTACGACCATATCTTTCCACACAAGACCACCCAGAAAGGCTCTAACTGATAAAGACGATGGAAAGTTCAAGAATACGAATTGAAGGGGCAAACGGTAGAGAAGAAAGCGCCTCTATCAAATCTCTGCAGTCACCTAGCAGTCTCAACTTATTCCTCCCGTCCCAACCCACTTCACGATGAAATCCATTTGCTATGGAAATACGAAGTGCAGATACTTGCATGCACTTACGATTCCAGAGTCCTGCAATCCGTCATTGGGTGTCTCTCGTACTGCAAGAACCCCGGTCAGAGGAACTTCCAGAGAGGTTCCACCACCATGACATCCATCCCGGATGTTTTAACCACGACCGCCTTGTCGCTTTACCGTCTCAAGTACCTCGAGGACTTCCAATGAAAATTATACCTACCCACATCACCAATGAGCTTCCTACAGAGGTAATTCTCATCATACAAGTACCCCACGCACAAACATCCCAAGCCGCCTATCATATTTAGAATGTTCACCCTTCCCAATAGATTGTAGACCTGATCGCGGCTTTCTGAGATATAATGTTCCGCATGAACCATTCGATGCCCAAAGCTCCAGCGGAAAAGATTGGTAGGTCCTATATCACACCATCCTGGAAAGTTACTTTCAATTATCTGCTCAAAGTTCCGCCATGCCGGAGCAGGACGGGGAAGGATAGCATAGCATCCCTTTCCTAGCTCTCCGCTCTCAATGTCTTCTGCAGCCTCGCCACATTTTTACCCAAATTCCAACCTGCCCTTGCGTAGCCACGACCGTCAGACGGCGCTGGCTGTTTCGGAATGGAGTTCACACAAGCTCACGCGCATGAGATGCTTTATCCACCGGTCACTGGCTAACATAGCGAGGTAGACAGGGACGCCGTGAAAGTCGAAACATTTATGATATGCGTATAATATACACACACACATAGACACCTAGTCAAGAATTAAATGACCTCCTAGAGCTAAACTACCTCTAGCCCCTACTAGCTTCACAATTCTATCCCCGGCTAAGCAGGGTGAGCTATACATGGAAGATTCAAGTGGCCTAGGTGTCTTACAGGATCTATCTCGTTCATTCTCGGCGACTAAAAAATCTCATTCATCATGTGGAAATGGAGCCAGAGCGAAATACTTAGCTAATCGTAACCAAGAGATAGGGGAGAAGGAAAAAGAAAAGGACCCTATTCATCGAAAAAGGACAAAACAGGCAATTGGGAGTGAATCACTTTTTTGTTACATCTGTTCTTCTCAAGCTCCTCGACTTCTCAAACGAGGGCGCGCACCCATGCGTGCAAGCACCAAGCCTGCGCCTCCTTGCCGGGGTCTGTCGCTCCCAAAAAACCGGATTTTTCCGGTTGAAACTGTTCTTACATTTTGGCGGCAATGAATTTATACACTCATTCACAGGACCGTTGTTGAACAATCCCGGTCGTCTTCTCTCAACAGCGCCAAAAGTGATGCTGGGCGCAAAATCAATCATCTCACCCTCCTAACGCGGTGTTCGTCTCGCCCTCTTCTCCCTTTCTTTCCTTTCTTTGAGTCTTTACCCGGTCCAAGCGGGATATCTTTCATAAGATACCTTTGTAATTGAATGAGGTACTCGTCGATATGATGGATCCTCTCTTCGTCGTCCAGTGGCTGGCTAACGGCTGTGTTGGTTGCTCCAAATGGCTCGCCAGGCACGACGCCTGATGCAGGTGTACTTCTTGCGTCGCCTGTCTGGGTTCTCGGCGTGGCACTAGCTCTCCCATCCTCAAAATCACCCTCGTCAGCATGCTGCAATTCTCTCGCGGCGACCTTGGCCGCTACGCGATCCTCTTGATCTTCGGCTTGCTCCAGCTCCTTAATACTACTGTTTTCGTTACCCAAGACACGGTCCATCGCCTTCCCAGCCTCATCCTCCTCGGCATTCTCATCAAGCATGTCCCGATATGTCATCCTATTCATGTAGTCCGTGGTGAAGTCGCCCTCCTGGATGACCACGTCATCGAGCATTTGCTTTTGGTTTGCTTTTCGAAGGATGTTCGACTCAATGGTATGCTCGGAGACGAAGCGGTAAATGTGGACGTCTCGTGTTTGACCAATGCGGTGCGCCCGGTCAGTGCATTGCTTGTCCATGGCAGGATTCCAATCAAGGTCGTAGAAGATAACGGTGTCTGCTCCGGTTAGGTTGATGCCGAGTCCACCGGAACGGGAAGAAAGGATGAAGCACAAGATGCGCGTGTCGTTGTTGAACCTCTCGGTGAGTATTTGTCGTTGCTCAATTTTCGTGGCGCCGTCGAGTCGCAAGTATCGATGGCCGTGAATGTTGAGGAACTGCTCAAGGATATCGAGAACTTTGGTCATTTGCGTGAAGATCAGGGCGCGGTGGCCGCCGGCTTGGAGTTGGCGGAGTAATTTGTCCAGTCTTTGCAGTTTGCCGCAGTCGTATTGAAGGAGGCGTTTGTCAGGAAATGCAATGGAGAGCTTCATGCGTGCGAGGTGGAATGGATCGTCCTCGTCATCCCTCTTCAAGGTTGATTCTGCTGCTTCTCGTATCGCTTGGGCTCCGGCTTCCGTTACAGTTCTGGCGTAGAGATCCGTGGCCACAACAGCGGGAGTGATACATGCGTATTTGTCAACGAAGGGTTGCATCTGGCCAGACCTTGACTGAACAGAATGTATAAGACTCAAGGACTGCATTGGCTGGTCTTCATCCCAGAATCTGCTCAACACCCTCCGCGGCGACAGTTTGGACAGTCTCTCATAAGTCGTATTTATGGTCAACTGGTCAATCAGTCCACGTCCGTAAATTGGATGCTGATGGTGCTTGTAGGCTTCGTAATACATCGTACGGTCCAACTCCTGAAGCCGCGCTCTCCGACCAACATTCTCAAGAGATCCGAGTACACCGCGCCGGGTCTCGCCGCGCCAGGCGATGGCATTATCATTATGGATACTATTGCGGGAGGACGACAAGACCCTTCGGGACTGAGCCTCCCTCAAGTCTCTGAGTTGGTTGTATGCATGTCGTTTAGTAGTTTCGATTACCTCAATCATTGACAGCCGCTCTTCCGAAATAGGTACCAGCCGTAAGAAGTCGAGGTCTAGATCGTTTGAGGCGTCCGACATTAGTCTCCGACGCACTAAAAAATCCTTAATCTCGAAGTCAGCTGCTGCAGATTTGTGCATGGCGAAAGATGTATTGATCGGTCGTGTTTCAAAAAGGTCAGGGTGATTGCAAACTTTGCGCAGCTGCATCAAGGCATTGATGATCGATAAGTAGTTGCCGGAAGCCAGCGTTTCCTTCGTCTGCGCTCTCGACATGAAGCCGTCGTATAATTGTCGCTGACGTTTGGACAGCCGACACATCTCAACGTGTTCATATTTGGCTGGCATCTGTTTCTCCACGTCCGCTTTTAGGCGACGGAGGAGGAAAGGTCGGATGACTTTGTGGAGTTTCGCAACCTGTTCTCGATCTTCCTCGTCTAGAGCCTGACGACCGTGTTCCAAGATCGACTCCACGGGCCTCTTGAACCATTCCGACCATTCTTTCAACCCCGCGAACGCGTCGTCCTCGCCCTCATTTTCTTGACCATAGTGGAGAAAGAACAGAAGGGACCAAAGTTCGGTCAAGTTGTTCTGAAGGGGAGTTCCTGTCAAGAGGAGCCGGGCTCTGGTGTTAAACGTCATCATGGTCTGCCATCGTTCTGACCGAAAATTTTTGATGTTGTGAGCCTCATCCAGAATCATATAATGCCACTTTCTTCTCTTGAAAGAGTTTGCATCTTGCAAGACCAATTGGTACGACGTGATACAGACGTTGAAGCTGTCATCCGCCATCCAGCCTCTCCTCTTTTGCTTCCGTTCTTCAAGGTTGCCATAGTATGTCAGAACCTTGAATCCAGGTAAGAACTTTTTGAACTCCATTTCCCAGTTCAGCATGACGCTTGTCGGTACCACGATGAGATGCGGACCCCAGACTTCGTAAACCTCAGCAAGGTGGGCTAGAAGCGCAATGCTCTGAATAGTCTTGCCGAGGCCCATCTCATCAGCGAGTATTCCACTCCTTCCATGGGCATATAAATCTGCAAGCCAGTCCAAACCTTCATGCTGATATTCACGAAGAGTGCCTCGCAACAATGAGGGAACAGGCGTCTTGATGACGGATTTTGCTTCCGAAGGTGTGACAGGCGGCACAGAGCCTGCACGAACATCGATGGAAGAGAGAGACCCAGGCTCGGAGAATTTCGTTGTGGTTGTATGAGGAGAGGGATGGGTGCTAGGCTCCTGACTTCCAGGATCTTCAGAAGGAAGTCGGGCTATCTGAGAGTCGAAGAGTGGTGTTGCATCTCGCAATCCAGCGTTTTCGGTTTCCTGAGCCGTTGGAATCTCCAACTGTGCATTATGTTCGCCAGTGGCTTCAGCTTTCAGTTCCTCCTGAGCATTTTGTACGGGCGTCGGGTCCTCTTCAGAGGGTTCTCCTTTTGGCATCGGCACATCTTCCAGGACTTGTACAAGGGGATTGTTGCGGCTTTCGGGCTCTTCTTTCTTCGATGCATCCATTTCATCGGCTCCCAGCGTCATGTCCACGATCTGTTTCTTCGAGAACAACATCGAGAGGAGGCCGCCACCTGTCTCATCCTCCTCGCTTTCTCCCTCCTCGTTCTCATCCTCATCACCGCTTCCCTCTGTGTCAAACTCGGAATCCATTTCAGTCTCCGGATCTGAATCTTCATCAGGCTGATCCAGACTTTCTTCATCTTCCGCTTTGCCGTCAGAGAGAGGCCCTTCATCGGTGATCGGTAAGTCTGGTAGGTTGCCATACTTCTTTTTCAATTCTTCAATTGACATCTGGGCATCGTGGTCCCCGTCGTCTGGTTCTGACTCTGTTTCTGTTTCGCTCTCTGACATCTGCTCGCTATTTTCCGACTCTGATTCGGTGGTCTCGTTGGACGAAAGATCTGTTCCACTGTCCATCATGGAGTCATCCTGCTCAGCAAGTCGAGTGAGCATTTGATCCGTTCGATCCAGGACTCGCGCAAGGTGTCCCTTCATCTTTGCCTGCTGCTGTTCTTCGTATTCCTTCTGTCGGATGGCGTTAACTTCTTGTCTGACCGCAGCCCAGAGTTTGTCGATATCTTTGACCACTGTTCGATAGATTGCCACACAGGTCTCTCGTTTCTCTTGCTCAATTTCTTCCGCAGTCTTGATCTTATTGCGCTTCTGCTTCTTTTCAACATATCGTTTTGCCTCGTGCGCTAGTATTTCAGCCTTCCTCTTATGCTCTCTATGCTCTGCTCTTAGGAGATTCCTGAAGTGGCATACATGGGCTAAGAGGTGATCACGATGCGCGTATTGTCTCCTTGGCTCATCTTGCTTATCGGGCAACGCATCGACGAATTTATTATGGAGCGACCCTCGCTTTTGGGCATCTCTCACTCTTCGCCTGGCCACGGCCTCCTTCTCAACTTGATCACGTGTCAGAGTTTCTTCCCCTGTCCTGGGTTCGGCCTCGTCCTTCTCCAAGAACTCTTCAAAGGATGCGTACCTCTTCGGTAAAGGTACGTTGGCTGGACTAGCAACGGAGGGTGGGGGTAGTCGCACCCGAAAGGTAACTTTGCGCAGAGTCACTGGAGGAGTCGGCCCTCTGGAGGAGAGTCCGCTAGAGGTATCGAAATTGTCATCATCACTCTCTTGCCCAATCTTGACTATGCCGTTTGTCTGCGGTTGGTCTCCATTTGCAACGCTGAGCCGTGGTGGGGGGGTCTGGGGGTGGTGAGCCGCACTGGTACGATGACGAGGAGATTTTGGCTGAGTCGAATGAGGGTGGTTTGAGATGACAACCGTGTCTCCGTGAGCATTGGTACGATGACGAGCAGATTTTGGTTGAGTCAAATGAGGATGTTTTGAGATGATAAGCGTGTCTCTGAGATGCCTCTGCGAGGGTTCAGCCTTGAGGTGGTGTTGCGACTGGGATGCATCGCGACTCTTCGAGGGAGGAACAGGACCCCGCTTAACAGTCACCGGCGGAGATACGTGCGCTTCAATCTTAGACTTGCGAGCGGACACGTTGTAAACAGGCTTTGCATGTTTTTGACGCTCCTCCTTGGCCTTGTCAAAAGCGGAGCGTGTCTGCCTCTTGTTTGATTGCGGCTGCAGGTCGAGGGGCACTATGTTTGTTCTCCCGGACTTTCGACGACCGTCCTGGATGAAGGATGTCGGACCTTCTGCGACGACTCGCTTCCAGGGAGGAGAGATGGGACGAGGAGATGGTTTATGGTCACTGCCTGCGACTTTCCGCCGCTTCGCGGGGGGCTCATCGTGGCCGTCATGAGGTTCGGTGGAGGATCCGACGGGGCTTTCTTGATGGCGGATAGGCGACGTGGATCTCTTATCGAGCAAGGCTAAAAGATATTCAGTCAACTGATGTGAGGTCGAGTTTAGTGAAGGAGCTGACCTTGATGTTGGGTGTTGGAGTCTGATTGAAAGCCGCCGGTCGGAGAAGGAATCGGCATCTGGCGCGGTCACTGCAGCTGCGCCTGGCATGGCAGAATCGAGATTCGTAGGAAAACGACAAAATGACAACGGGTATGCTCCACGGGCAGGGCGCTAGATTGGTTGAATCGTAGGTCAAATTGTAGCACCGACCGAGAAGAGTGGCCTCGCGTAGTCTCCCGTGTCCTGGGACAAAGTTGGGCTGCTGGTGAGCGATTGAAGTTGGAGGCAAACCGTGAAAATATCGAGTTGGGAAGAAAGTGAGCGCAGGGGGGAGAGAACAGGCGAGTTTAGGGCGCAGGCTACACAGGCTGGTGACCGCCCGCCGAGCACCTCGCCGCCCATGTTGTTCTGTGTAAAAGTAGTGCCCAGACACTGGCAGCTCCTGCTTAGACCAATCACTGCCCGCCATTCTTCATCCATCTTCAAGCATCCCTCATCTCTCACTCCACACACACACACGTCAACTCTTCACGGCCAGCTCTCTGGATGACCTGACTTCTCACTGCACCTCTCCCTGTCCGGCTCACTGGAGCCTCCTAGACACGAAGATGCTCTCCCGACGAGCCTTGACCTTGGCCGCAACCTCGGCGCGATCTCTTGCCCGAAGCCGTCCTCAATCTCAAATCCAACCTCGATTCCGCATCCCTCGAGCCCAGTTCTCGGTCGCAAGATGTCTGAAGGCTGCTGGAGAAGAGGTAGACGATCCTGAAATGGTACATTGATCTGCAGTTACAGCTTCAAGAAGGATGCTAATCTCGGCGTTGGAAGAACAACAACTACATCAACCCACCTCGAATCAAGCGACAACACCGTGACCCCTACGCCAACTGGGACGACAAGCAAGAACGGCGCAACTTCGGCGAGCCCGTCCATGAAGACAATGACGTTCTCGGCATCTTCGCTCTGGAGGATTATACATTCATGTCCACCGCTCGGGGGCTCTTGCTGTGGGCCGGCTTCATCGCCTGCGTGCTGGGGGTATATTATGGCGTCTCATATACATATCCTGGCAAACCGAGTGCCCCAAGAGAACTTGAAGGAGGACTATTTGAGGAGCTTGGAGGTCCAGGTGCTGTTAGGGTGAGCATATATACTGCTATTGCGACCTCGTCACGGAGCTAATCAAGGTGATAGGCACATATGGACGGGGACCCGGTTGACGAGGAACAAACCAGCGGCGGTCTTGAAGCAAACCAACAGATATCTAGAGACGTTAAGCTGAACCAAAATTGATCGCCGTGGGAGCACTGAACAATAAAAGCGCAATTGACTGTCTCGCTCGCGATGGATCCATTGGCGGAGATTGATGAATGATACTCTCGCACTCAAATATTGTTAGTTCAGACCGCGTGCTCATCTGTGGAAAGGGGTGTACATAGCTCATACATGCGGTTATAAAGTGAATTTCATTCTTGTCCCAGTGAGTGTCAAGGTCCAGAGAGACGACGTCTATCAGGTTCGCACCTTGCGTGTAACTGTCCAAAAGTCTTACATTCTCGAAGACGGCTCCATCGTGAGAAATGAATCTAGGCGCTTCATGCAGCAGCTCCCTCCAAAAGAAACATCAAAGGGGATATACATAGAGAATCCAAGTAACGAGGGGTCCAACCGCACTATCCCTGGTCCAAACCACCTATAGATGTATCTCTCTCTGGAGGTATATGTGATTGGAGTATTGCTTTTTCGCGCCAACGGCCACAGCCTCGATTGAGGAGAATGGAGAAACGAGTCTGGCAAAAACCCTCCCCCCTCTCTGTGACACTGGGAACCAGAGGAGAAATCCCAATCCCCAAGGGTCCCGCTGCCTGCTCTGCTCGATGGACTTCTTGCGTGTCCGTTCCAGTCTGACAGCGTGTCGACCAGTCTCGCTCTTTTTTGTATGTGTCCGTCCCACCGTCCGTCTAGGCAACCATCCACATGCCCCAGCCCACAATCACGAGCATGGCCCAATACCCGCTCAACTCCACGACCATGCGGACACTGGCACTGACCTGGGACGGGTCGCTCGGATCAGTGCCGCCGTCGGCGGTGGTGCCGTTCGCCAGGCTGCCGTTGATATATGTGCTGGTTGAGCCGTTGCTGAAGGTGACGGTCCTCACCGTACTGGTGTTGACGGGCGCGACGGGTGTCGAGCTCCCGTTGGTGACCACCTGGGTCAAGAAGGTCGAGTTGTCATTGGGATCGCAACCGCAGACCTGGTACTGTTGGCACAGGCACGTCACGTTCGAGGTGCGATTTCTCCCGTCAGGGTCAGTCCAGTGGTATGGAAAGCCATAAGGGTACGCCCACACGCTGCCGTAGAGCCACAGGCCTGGGAAGAAGGCCAGCGCGCCCGCGCCGATAAAGAACGGCGCAACGCCCAGCGTCGGCGAGCGCTTGCCGGCGGTGAATGGAACCACCGCGCCGCCCGTGTATCTGCCCCCGTATGCCTTGGGTGTCCCCGAGCCGTCGCGCGTGCGGCCGCCGACATTGGACGAGGGGGAGAAGGAGTACGGCACTCCGTTTGGCCTTGTGGAAGAGCCTCCTGAAGAACTTCCAGAACCTGTGCGCCCACCGCTGGAACTCCCAGAGGAGCCGCCGCTTCCTCCACTGCCTTTGCCACCACCGCCACCTTTGCGCTTCTCGAGGTAATTGAAGGAGTGAAGGGGAGAGGCGTCGCGCAGCGAGAGGTCGGTGGAGAGAGACAGGGGCGGCACGGAAGCGACGAAGGAGGCGATGCAGAAGAGGAGCGTTATCTGGAGGAACTTCATGGTCGCTTGCGCTGGCCGGACCAATTTCTTCTCGTGACAAAGATGTCAAGCTTGGGTAGGTAGGTATATTAGGTCAGGGTCAACCCTTCGGTACCGTGCCGTCGAGTACAGGGATATGTAAGTTTGATTATATAGTAGCAAACGCGCCGGGCGGAGTTCAAACAAAGGACTCGAGTGAAGAATGATGCGCTCTTTAGATCCCAAGTTATAAGTTTGACAACAAAGCAGCAGACGCGGAGGCAACTTGCACAGCCCTTCCCAAGTTGCACTCGTACAAGAAACCGGGAATGGTGTGGTGAATCATCAGATTTCCCCTTCCCAAGAACCGACTGGGTGAAAGGCGCATCTAGTTGTAGATCCGAAAACGCATTGGTTCGGAGTATCGCCTCGCCACAATGCCAAGGGGACTATCTTCAAGCTACCTCATAGCATGAGGAAGCAGAAGCAGATACGAGGTACGTCAAAACGTGTTAAGGAGGCAGTGCCCCGAAACCCCCTAAACTACAAGTGATCCGGCAGGGGGCTCCCTTCCACACATAACCGTTGGGCGTATTGGCGTATTATTCCATGCACTTGAATGAGCCAGAGTAAACCTGGTCAGCCTGGCATCACGCTTCTGCTGCTAAGCCTATGAAGCCAGCGGAACAAGACGAAGGTCGAAAGCTTAATGGCGATTCTAGGAACTGTCTGGGCGGACACGGCTAGTCCAACTTAGCATCAATGCTTATAAACCTTGACATCTTCAGGAGAGCTCGCCGCATAGTCGCCCCAAGTCTCGGTTGGGCGATGAAGAATGCATGATGGCGTCCTGCTGGGCGAATTCTCAATGCTTTGCTTCATTCCACCACCGCTCTCTTTTTGTAATGGTACATTGTTTGAGAACGCCTTGCCCTAGTTCATGTCAGATCCCGACGAGTCGCTTCGTACCTATGGTTATGCACGGTCAGCAAAAGATGGAAACAAATATTCACGTTTGGACTCGTGAGGGCATCCCGAGAATGGCGAACATATTCACATACCTCTTGCCTCTGAAAGCCCACACTCCCCAGTTCCCACAGCTAATGTCCTGAGGATCAAGGTCATTCAAGTCCCATCTCAGAGACCGGAATCTGTTCTCTCCAGGTTCCATCAGCAGATCAACTTCGCCTGCACATTTCTCCATGACCCATTGCCAATCGCGCGTCATGTCCCATTCTGTATATCCCGTACATATCACAGGAATTTTGGTCTCAAGCAGTCGAGGCAAGGTGGCTTCCCACTCGAGTGAAGAGGCTGGGTGACCTAAGCCAGGGTGAAACATCATGAAGCAATCGAAATACGGGTCGTAAGGATAGAACACATTTGCGTCATGCAGGGTGTGGAAATAGTCCACGTAGGTGGTGATTTTCATCTTTGGCGATACACGGTCTTCGACAATGGCACCAAATGGATTTTGAGGTGTCCTCTCGGGCAGAGGATATTCTGCGTCTCGGTTCATCATTGACTCGGGGCCAATGAAAATAAGATGAATCAGTGAGAGAGGGAAAAGGTACGACAACTGCGTCCACACCTCACGGGGCAGAGATGACTCGGCTCGTGCACCTAGGACAAATATCCGGACTGGAGGACTTGACAGCCTTAGACCTTTGATATCTTTGCCTTGGCCTGTTTTAGGCGGATGTAATGTATACCGTAGTGCTATTGGTGTTAGTCGACGGCAGTGCTTGGACGAAAGTGAGACTCACCTGACAAACTCTTCAACCCCTCTGCGGTTAGCCGCCCGCCAGTCCTGATGTTGTATGGACTCAGTTCATGCAAGACACTCCCGATCGTCAGAGGATATGTCAATAATTTCGTAACTTGTCGCATGCTCCTCTCGTCATTCACTGCTTCATATTGGCGCGTGTAGAGATAGGTATCCCAATTGGTCATATTGACCAAAGCTTCATCCATCTGAGGTCCGGGATACTCGAACTCAGGGAACCATCTTCCTGACCTCAGATCATGGTCGTCCTCGTTGATTTGTCTCAGTGTATCGCATATCTCTAAGTGTGCCTCAAAATCATCCGCCCAGTGTTCCTCGGAGCAGTATGTCGCTATGCCGCAATCTGGACACTCAAATGAAACGTGAGCCGGAGGCTCCGTGCTCACACCCTCGATTTTCCTTGCTTCCGGATCGTGGGGGGAAATCGGTACCCGCGTCTGTTGATGCACGGGGTGTGGGCACAGCGCATGCTGTCTCATAAAACGCGCCCTTTGCCGGATCTCGGGGATTGGTGACCTGGAGAAGGGATGGAAGAGATTGCCGGGTCCCAGGACCACTCGGCCATGGGCACGCCACTCGCCATAATCAGTGGGGGGAATATTGTGTCGCTCGAAGTTATCAGGTTCGTCCGCAGGGGCAGTAGCAGTAGACACAGGCCGGGATGACCTTTTAGAGCTTCGGATCTGCTCCGTCCTCGATTGATTTCGCGGTGGGTGCTTCAACGAGGTGCTGGAGGTGAAGCTGCGACGGCCGGGGATCTGTTGGACGAATCTAGTATTCGGCCGCTGTCGAGCTACACCTGAGAGTGTTCTTGCACATCTCAAGCAGGTGAACAGGCCTTCCATTGACTGCGAAAAGAGGGGCAAGCGCGAAGCCAACTGGATCAGATGCATCAACCGCGGCGATTGAATACAGAAGAGCGAGCTGCGGTCGCTGTCACCAGATCCTTGCCAAGAGCTTTGCTAAATTCACCACCAAGCTAACTTCAACCCCCTTTTGGGAATATATGATGCCGCCTTATGCGACGAACGAGCCACTTGGGCCAAGCAGGCAATACACTCAGTGACGCCGCTTTTACGACGCAATCCCTCGTGCAAACCTGCTGGTAAGGCTGACGATCATACAATGCAAAACACATACCACACTCTTGCACACTGTAACATGTTGATCCGGTAAGTAGGGACTGAGTGTCTGTTCACCAATTCTTGGTCCATTATCGTCATCATATGATCCCTGGTTTGGCGCTCTCTCCTTTGGGGATATAAATAACGCTCATTAATATGCTACGGCTGCGACCGTAGAGAATCCAGGCAGTCCGCTCAAAACACTCACAAGCAACTCGCCATCTCGTCGAGTCCATCCCCTCCTCAAATGCTTCCAATGCTAAGAACACCACAGCAAGGCTCATGAAGTCCCAGGCCTCTTCTTCCACACGACCGCAACTTTCACCAATACCCTCCCAGTCTTTAATCTTCCCGCGCCTGGAAGCCCGACTTTCTCAAATGCGCCCATCAACCCGGCGAACATCCAATTTTTGTCCATATTCTCATCCAGCACATTATCCCCCGGATACAGCGCCTGTTTCTCCATCTTCTCGGGCAGTTTTGTTGTCAAACTGCTTTCAGCGCTTGCATCTGGATCCCACGCTTTGTGAATGAACACCGGCGTCACTCTTTTCGCGTCGTCGTTGAAATCTGCGGGATTAGGATCGGAGAGGAATTCGAGGCCTGCAATGCGGCCAGCCCCCGGGCGGTAGTAGACATGGACACGATTGATCGAGGAGGCGCTGAGGTTGCGGTCCTCAATCTGCTTCCAACGCTCTCCTGAGGGTTTAGACCCGACGTACAAGTTGGCGAACATGGTGGCTCGTTCTCCTGCGCTGGATTTCTTGACCACTCTCGACTCCTCGGCTTCGACTGATTTGGTGCTACGGTGGAAGAGGGACTTTTTATTTGTGTACCCGAGTCCGATACCGCTGATGGCGTTGTGGCTGTCCTTCACACGGCGGCTGTGATACCATCCGGCTGCAAAAGGTTGCACGGCAACTCGTTGAGGGAACTCCTCGTCATCGATGTCGAAGTTGCCAATTGCAAAGTGTTCGTAACTTTTGTACTGGGATAAGGGCTCTCCAATTACGTCCCAGCAGTAATTCACCGGGTCGCTGGTTATATGCTCCATGCCTTGCAAGTCAGACACCTCCTTGTCTCGCCATTCACTCCCGCTGTTATCAAACTTGGGGATTGGTAGTATGCTTTGAATCACGCCCGGACAAATATACTTTGGAAGACTGTACACATGCCGACCTTGGTGGTCGTGCTGGGTAATCGATCTCGCCGGGTCAACGACTAGTGCAGCGGCCTGTTCCTGGATGTAGATCATTGAAGAGCGACAGAGAAGCCTCATCATGCTTAGTTTCTGTGGATCTGGGTCCATATTGGTGAGTTTGGGAGTCGGGTCTTTGATAATGACGTCGAGGTTCATGAGGGCCCGAGTCTTTTTGTCCGTCCAGGAGTCTGAAGCTGGGTCATCCATCTCTGACGCTGTGAAGTCGATGGTATTCCGTCTTGTACCCACAACAACGTCGCCACTCTGAAGAGCAGCCTTCTGGCTGTTCATTTTAGCTTTGTCATCGTCCCGATTCCGGTAGTCCTGGGGATCTTTGATCATTGCATTCAGCTTCTCGCACAAGTCTTGAAACGCCATGAAGTCTTCATACAGCGTGCTAGTATAAATGGCACAATGGTCGTAAGTCAGCGGTAGGGGTATCCGAGGACTCGCCAGTCGGTGGTCGTGGAAACTCTTCAGAGCTGTGTACGGTGTCAGGACAGCTCGGATCTTGGCTGGCTTGGCTGCAACCATTGAAGGAAACGCATTAGCTATGAGGATCAGACTGTCCATTCCCCAGGGGAAGTCGTGATTCTTGATCTGGCCACCGCCTCGCCATTGAATCCTGATGGAAGTTGTTGCTTGCGAAAAGAGACGATTTCGTTCTTGCGTGGCGTCCATTTCACCTGAAGCTTGCACTGGTAGACCCATGGGCGTCAACTGCGCTGAAGCATGCACAGCTAATTGTCTGGAATTCTTCCGATCTTGTGACTTGATGCCTACCCAGGCATATATCTCACCCCCCTCGACAAAATCCGATATGAAACAGTCGCCATAAATCCGCGTAAACTCAACACTCCTGGCATGCGCGTCCTTCATCTGGCTTGGCGCCTTCTCATCTCCAAGGGCTTCGTTTAAGCCTGGAACTTCGTTGAACGACCATTCTTCCTTGCGATCGTCAGCCTCGTTGACGACTTTAACATGAACAAGGAAATTGACGTCGTTCGTATTGAGATCGTCTCGAGTTGCAAGACTGCTTCGAGCGTCGGCCCCTGGGCCTAAGCTGGTGGCTTTGATTGCAGCAGAAGCATTAAACCCCATGGCATTGTTCATTTCAACAATACTCTTGACCTGTTTTGAAGAAAAGGTCACAGTTTGGTTGTGCCGAGCATTGGGATCCAGTTTGAGCAGATATGGCAGTTTCGGTTGCTGCGGTGTTTCGGCGCTGGTTCTCTTCAAGCTCTCGGTCAATGTGGTAAGGATGTCATTCATGTCCAGACCCTGCTTTGGCGGTGGCGGTGGCGGTGGCGCTGCTTTTGACACCGAATCGCTCCTTGTATGCTCTGGCATAATCGTGTCGGCTTCACTGATTGAGGCACTTGCACGTGCAGCGTTTTCTGGGAATTTGGTGATTGTGACAGCATTGTCAATTCGAACTTCTTGAATATAGGAATTGTACCCTTGGCCGCGCTTCATGCGCACATTGTAAAGAGGTCCGCTGTCATCCATTCTGATATTGTCGACGCTGTGTCAGTGAAGGATGAAAGAGCCCACGAGACATCGTACGATGTAACGGATTTTTGAGGCAGCTCTCAGATATACGGCCGATGCGTGTCTCCATCGGTTTTCACGTAAAACCGTTGCGCCCGCGAGCGGTCTTCAACGGCTATACCGTAGATGGTGGTCGAATTCCGTCAATCGAATCCGCTGCCCACACGATTTGACAAAGTACGTGCAGCTGGAATCGCCTAATCAGTCGACTGGCGACCGCGTTAGGCCACGCTAATGCATTGCGAAATTTAGGGAAGAGGCCCAGGAAAGAGGAGTTGCATGTGAGCAATAATGAAAGAGATACCTTTCAGCTCGAGCGGAAGAGCCGGAGCCTATCAATCTGTCGAACAGAGAGCCTGCGACGCCTTGTGTTCTTCAGCTTCCACGAAGCTGAGGAATCACTCTGTTGTTGTGCTGGCCTGACGGTGTGGTGGGAGTGTCTATTCGCGGGCACAACCGCACCGTTGCGGGGACTTTGTTCAATCGACATGGATCTTCCGGGGACTTAGTCCCCTAGCGGGCGAGCGGTGGGCGAGTAAGAGACGCGAGTGATGCACTGATCCGGCGTGCATGAGCCGAGAATGAGGCCAGGGCCGCATCAACCGCCATGCAAAAAAGGGGTGAGCTGGAAGGCAGCTTCGAGCCTGTGGTGCAAGCCGAAGCCATGGAGTTGGGGTACATCTCAGGACGAGATGTCCAGTATTGATTGATTGTCTCCTTGAACACCAATAGGACAACGACACTTTCGTGGCTCGTTGAACTGCAATGAAACTATCACGTGATCGTCTAACCTTCCTCCTGTGAAAGGGCAACCCTAACGAGCCTAGCGAGCTCGTCCGAGCTCGCGAGGTTCATCACGGTTGGTGTCTTTTGCGTTTGACGCTGAACTCACATCGATATCAAGACCCCTACGACCCATTGTTCTGGATGATGACCCGTTTATGTCTAGCCTGGGTATCCTTATAGGTCCATGGACGAGATCGCCGGTGAAAGCAGAAACCGGTTATTGGAGTATGGTGTATCTGGTACTCTGCGCCTGGACCAGCCTTTGCTTTGAAAGCACGACCCCTTCGATCAGTGTCTTCTATCAGGTTCTCCAGTCCTCATAACTTGATTATGAAAAATATGCAGGTCTTGGCCAAGCGAAGACTGTCGTGGTAACCTTATGTTTGACACCTCTATACCGGAACAGGGACTGGCTACATCTCCGTCAAGTTGTACGTTATTCCCTTCCCAGTCTTGAGGTTCATCCTACTGGGACGAAGGCCAAATTGACTGTCGTGCCCGTAATATATCGCGGCCTTTAGCAGATATTCTAGCCATTCTTCTTATGGTAACTGCAGGAGTGACTGTCAGAAGATTATGGTGTCTAACAGTATATGCTCCTCCGCAGGGAGGGGTTATTACTTACCACTGGAGCCGTGAAATGCAGATCTAGGAGTTTCCCGACGCTCGGTATTTGGTTACCGTAGCCTTTAAAGACAACCAGCCTCCCGAGGTAGAACAGCTGGGGCGGCTTAATCGTTTCTCTTCCGGATTTGAAGGTCCTCAGCTCGATCCAGATATTTGGGTCCCTATGTTCTGCATCTTCGGCTGTCATGAAGTTGTCGCGTTCAATGAACGTAGTAGTTTCGTTGCTTCTAAGGCGGTCTGCCTAATAGTTCTTACTAGAATATTTAGTGTCATCGTGGAATAGAGTCAGTAATTGGGAGCAGTAAAGGCATACATTATCTACGTGCCGCCAGATCAATTAATTAAAGGGAAGCGTAGCCACCTCCGTAAAATAACTTCCTCAAATGGCAACCGCTGATCTCGGTCTCGCAGTACCTCGGTCAGTCCCTCCTGAGAGAATTGTCATCGGCTAGGCACCCTCGTACTTTTGGATTGCTTCGACTAGAGGAGTAGGGTCGCCAGAATGACACGTAACTGCAGCTATACCGCTCTTTGTCTTGCTACGACCGAGGACGTCAAGTGTCCTCTTTCGATCTGCGGTTAGTCTCGCGAGATTCGATGCTATTCTTCGAGTATCCGAGATCGTGTCGTTGCTTTCTTCCGACACATCCTCCACAGATGCTAGTTCGACCCGGTTTGTCATTTTTGCCAGTGATGAGATAGAATCTCCATGTGTCTGCTGTGTCTCGAAGAGCTCCGGCGATGTATCACAGCACGCAACAGTTGTTAGACCAGCCTAATTCGGCAAGACATGGACTCTCAACACTGGGGCAACCTGGCACTTGCTAGGCTCCCTACTTAGATTACTCAAGAACGAAAAACCTAATTGCCATGTACAGTTTAATCCTGAAGAGTGAACGAAGGCCGCTTTTACCTGAGCTTTAACTAAGCCTTTGCATGAGCATCGTTGAGTACTCCCTAGGCGCTTCTTCAGTAAACACACCTGGGTATAATCTAACCTCTTATAATCGGCTATACCTACCTCTCGCCTAGATATCTATTTTAGACGGATGTTAGGGAGCCTAGCAGATTCTCTAGCCTTAATGTACTACTTAGCTTTCCTGATACTCTTAGGCCTAGCAGTGTAATAGACAGCGCGGTTAAATCGTCGGCTACAACGCGGCGGTAGCATTTAGACGGCCAACGGCGGCCGTAACTAATTGTTCTATAAGTCTTCTAAGTAACTTGATGGACACGAGGGAGGAGCAGGGGGTATCTCGGACGAATCCATCGCCGGCTTCTCATGAGTACCTTATGACTCAGTCAACTTTCGAATTTTCGGAAACTACTTCTTCAACATAGGCGTCATGGCTCCGGCCAACTCGACGTTCAGCGCACGTATCCAGCCGATAGTGGGTTTGATCGGTGAAGCTCGACATCACGAGAAGAGTCATGCTTCTTTGGCTCCTCGAGATCCCTTAAAAAGGCCTGGCAAACCTGCCAGGTTGTAAATTTGCTGGCACCTCACCCCGAATCGAGCCCAAGAGGATGCCGCCTTGTGCTCACGCCAGCTTGCGCGAGTCAGGGCGAGCTGGGAGAGGCATCATGACAATTCATGTGCTGCAAGGCTGAAAAACCTAGTGTCAGTCGGGTGCTCACCTTGACCCAGATCAAGTCGGCGCACATCATTCGCCTCAGTCTAATTCGGATTGAGGCAGCGTGCCACGACTTCCTCGACAAAGGCATATAAGATAAGCAAGCACTATCATTCCTCTAAACGGAACTTACTATTTCTAACGATATCCAATTTTTGCAGCGAGCGGTGGGCCGCGCACTAGCGTCACATCGATCACCGCATACAAGATTGATGACGAGACGGGGAGGAAGGTATGTCACGGTCAACGGAAGAAGGAAAAATTACGCAAAACCGTGACGGTCAACCAAACTCCTTTTCCAACCCTTTTCCACCTTCTCGATCCTAGCGCTAACAACCGCTGCTCGCCAATGCGTCCACGCCAGCCAGACCCTGATAGTTAGTAGGGTCAGTGGTAAAGTGACGGCCCAATAAATCCAAAACGCGTCGCAAGGACATCCCCATCAATATCTTGCCAATTGTGAACATTGGCATCGAGAGCAGCGAAGCGACAAATGTTCCAGGCAAGAAGATCACAGTTACGGCTACGAGAGTCTTCATAGACGATGTCTCCCGTTTGCTCGCAGATGCGATGATACGAGGGTCTTTTGCAATTCAAGACTCAGAAGAGTTTCGTTTCGGTTAGTGAGGTTGAAGAGCTGCCATTTATTAGTGTGTAAGTTAACCCGTCGGAGAAGGGGCAGAGTCATACTGCTGTCAACTGGTTATTGACCCGAGTGGTCTGCACATCGATGTGTGTATTTTGCACGTCCAACCTTCGCTGAATCATCACAACACGAGCGTGGAAGAGCTTTTGTAACAATAACGAGAGATATATTACAGTCACAGAGGTAGGCTATAGTAGGGGGACTACCAATGGTGACAACAATATTCTCCGCAAGACGATTTATGCGCCGATTTGCAGCGAGCGATTTCACGAGTGCTCTCATTCTAACCGATAGCTTTGAATACGCGCCTTCCGCAGCCTGATGCAACATCATGTCCTATCCTGAATATCCTGTCCGCTTCTCAACCGAGGAAACATCTCGGCTGACGTCGCCGAGGCGGAAACCATGGTATGAGTTCAATATAGCGGCAGTGCTGAGCAAAGATGCGGTAGGGATGCTGTGCCAAAGATCCAAGACTCATTAAACAATCCTGAAAACGAGACATCTGGTTATCCCCAGTCCAGCAAAGACCTCGTGTCTGCCCAGGTCGGTTGTCATAGGTGATGTAGAGGCCAACAAAATGGACAAGGAATATAGAGCCATAGAATCCACATATTTTACCTTCGTAATGGATTGAAATTATATCAAACGTTGTCGAGGAGCTATGGGAATAGTCAATGTACTTTTCCAAGCCCATATAATTGATAAGAAACTCGTAGTTGTCTCTCTTTATGTCAAGCCGATAAGGATATCGTCCCAGATCAATGGGGCCCGGGCGAGCTTGACGAGAAGTTTGGAGTCAGGTGGTGACACTGCTCCGATCCAGCTTCTGATGCTGCGAGTGTCTTCTTGAGACATGCTAAAAGTGATCGAGCGATCACGCCCTCAAAAGTACACTTCGGTCACATACACGAAATTATTGTCGTCATGAAAGTCCATATCAGGAAGCTCTGCTCCGTTTCTGATGTAGAAACTGGTGAGGGCGCCATGGTGCTGGCGGAGCCTGCAGAAATTTACTTAGAGTCAGTACGGTGACTTGCACAGTTCCTGTGGTAAGTAGCTAGAGTTGAGCGAGTATCTTGGGTGTTCCACAACACTAATCGCGTCAGGTTGGCATCGATCAAGCCCTGAGAAGTGGTGCCAAAGCATTACTTTGACGAGTAGGTGGGCGAAGAGCGGCATTGTGCTAAGCCGATAGCGGGCTGCTCTAGTTTGTAGCTACCGCGAAGCAATGAAACATTATGTCAGCAAATACTTGACTATAAGTCTCTATGGGGCCTCGGTCCACTGTGATAGATTTACATCATGGTTGGATAAAGATAGGCAATCTATCTTCTATCGTCGACGTTGGGTGAGTTGAAGTGGAAAGGGCAATTCCAATGCCGAGCGGCTTCGGCGGTATTTATCCGTGCTATGCACTGATGGGGGGTTGGATGTCTGCATTTGACGAGACACGAGCGGCATTGGTCGCCTCCAAATTAGGAGAGCACGCGTGATTCTGGGCGGGATGAATGGAGATGGGAATGAGCAGGCCGACAGGAGCGCAAAGCTCGTTCCATCTCCAGCAATCTTGGTAGCATCAACACCTTGGTTCGTTTTCCTGGTGAATGGCGAGGACGTTGTAAACACGCGCAAATGTATCTCTTTTGTGCTGTCTTGCTGCATGGACTTGTCCCATGCAGATAAAACTCAGCAAAATAGCTCTCAATTTGGTGTCGCTAACGATCTCCTTTAATTCACAGGGACGAGTGCGAAGAGGGGCTACCTGACATTATTGCCTAAAGGCCCATGCTTTTTAGCCGAGCAGTGAAAGAACCCGTCAGGAGATGATACGTGTGTTCCACGCCGTCGGCTCCGCGACAGCTCGCAGTTCTAGCAGTCCCACAACCGCCCTTTGTTCGAGCTCTCCCACTGCCCAGTTTTGCTCCATCTCCTTCCTTTCTCATGAGACCAAATGCGTCGAACACCCTCTAAGCGCATTCCGTTTCCAATCTTCCCAGACGTCCAGAAACCCAAGCTCTCGTCCCTCGAAGATACTATTATGTCCCGCAAAAGGGCCATTCCGCGGCATTGGTGACTGTTCTTGCTTGGCCTAGTCTTGAAGACCGAGGAGTGGTCCCCAGTCCGACCGCGCCGCCCTGGGGCCACGGTGGGAAGGGGGCCGTCGTCGCTTTGGTCTACTTCGCATCAACGTCCGTCGAGGAAGTGATTTCCTTCCACTCATCTAGGCCTTTGATCGTCTCTTCGCATTTTCCTCTGATGATTCTGTAGGCGTCTGCTCCCAATGCAAGCCTCAGAGGGATCTCCTTGCCGGTGGCACCGGTGAGGACATCGACGATCACCTTTGCGCCCTTTGCGGGATCGCCCGGTTGGTTTTGATTAGTGCGCTCCACGCGTTCTTCGGTCCTTCGGACCGCCGTCCCGTCGTAGTCTGAGATGTGTTTGACGTGGAGGCTCTTGTGACCGCTGCTGAGGAAATTCGATCGAAAGTAGCCCGGCTCGATGCTGCAGACCTTGATGTTGAACTCGGCGAGCTCGAGATACAATGTCTCCGTTATGCCGCTGACAGCCCATTTCGAGGCCTCGTAAATACCCACGGCTGGTGTCCCACGCCATGCTCCTATGCTGGAGAAGTTGGCGATGACTCCAGAACGCTTGGCACGCATGTACGGGAGAATGGATCTTGTCACGTTCAGAGTACCGAAGACGTTTGTTGCAAATTGGGCCTGAGTTTCTTCTGGTCTATAGGGGCGTGTCAGCCATGTCTGTATTGTTTCGGATATTGTTAACCGGAATAATAACAACATACGTCAGCTCTTCTAAGCCTCCTACTTGACGGTACCCAGCGTTGTTGATGAGGTAGTCGATCCGTCCGTAACGACTGTGAGCCTCTTCGGCAAGTATTTTTAGCTTGTCCAGGGGCAAGGTCACGTCCAGGCTCAATGTATCGGCTCCAGCCTTTTTGAGATCCTTGAGCTTGCTGGCATTCCGTGCGGAAGCGATGACTTTGTGACCCCGACTGAGGACTTCAAGGGTCAATGCTTTCCCAAAGCCTGAAGAAGTCCCAGTGATGAACCAGACCTTGAAATTTGCCATCTCGATCTACAGAAAAGAGAAAACTGTCGTTTTCTGAAATCCGGATAGCGAGGTGAGAGGAAGGCGATGGTAAATACCGTCAAGAAAGGCGAGCACGGAAGGGCTTTTATCCATTCATTGGCAGTGAATTTACCTGACGGCTTGCATGCCTGAATTGCCGATGTTGACATGGAACTACTGCAGACACAGTCAGCCATTCAGCGATATCATGCCGCCCCTGCTCCGCCCCTGCTGGAGGTTGTGGTAGCGGACAGAAATCATCTCGTGATTTTGCAGAGCCTGAGTTTTGAAACCCTAGAAGTTTCG